TAGACTATTGTTTTTTGGACACTTTTAGTCCGTCTCATGATTTTTTCTATTTTTAGTAAGGACATTTTTGTCTCTACATATTTTTCTTTTGTTATTTTTCCTGTTTCAACCAGTTTAATTGGTTTATACAATCCATGCAGAGGCGGACCTACAGTGGGGGCAGTGGGGTCAGCTGCCCCCACTCACCCCACCCCCACCCCTTATATAACCTTTGTATGTATATGTGTATATATAGTACAAGTTTTAGTATTAGTATTATAAAATAGAGAAATTTTAACAAAGTGTAGCTTAGCCTAGTTGGATGAGCGCGTGGATTGGCGAAATGCTGGCCAGGGTTCGATTCTCCTCTATCTATTGTCAGCATTTCTTTTTCTTATTATTCCACTATTAACACTATCTTTTCACATTTTCACTATTATTAATAGTACATATTGCTTCAACACAATAATATAATCTTCATTTATATATTAATGATGATATGTGTAATTTATAATGAATCTTTTATTCAAATTATTTTATCAAATTGATTATGTTCATATTTTGTTATGAATATTTTTCTTTTCTTATTATTCCACTATTAACACTACCTTTTCACATTTTATTTCACTATTATTAATAGTACATATTGTTTCAACACAATAATATAATCTTCATTTATATATTAATAATGAGATGAGATGTTTACCCCAAAAAAAAAAATGAGATGTGTAATTTATAATCGATCTTTTATTCAAATTATTTTATCAAATTGATTATATTGATATTTTGTTATGAATATTTTTATAATGTTTTGACGTGTTTTATAATTTTCTTATATCAAACATTATTTATGGATATACTTTTTAAGTGTTTTATTTTTTTTTCTAATTATCAATTTTGCTAATATTTTGCCCCCGCTGCAAAAAATTCCTGGGTCCGCCACTGAATCCATGACGCTCATTGTGATTCGAAAAAGAATTTCAAATAAATTAAAATTGAACTAAAGGCTCAGTAGTATATATATATATTATAAACACACAAGATTAAACAAATTAAAAACCTTATATTATTGATATATTGGAACACATGCAAATACATATATATAATGCCACCTGAACTAAACAGATGCATGGGCAGTTTTAATTTTACAGAACACACTCTTCCCTCATCATTATTATCATTATTATATAATTATTATTATTACATTATTATTATTATGACTTGATGCATATTCATGGCTTCAGCTTGGCATGGTGATCATCCATATCCTTGGTCATATTAAGAAGAAACTCCAGATAGGTGAGTGGCTCAGGAATCTCCTCTTTCAGCTTCTCATACTCGATGGTCCAAGTCACAAAATTGTCATCACCATTGCTATCAACATGACATGTTATGATGAAGCTCTTATGGGATTCCATGAGATCACCTCCGATCACTCTGAATTTCACTAATTTCTTCTCATCATCTATGGCCTCAATAACTTCCTTCGCGATTTTGGTCTTCCCATCTGCCAAATATTACAAAATATATGCATATGTTAAGAACATTTTGATAGAAAAGGGAGCTAATTAAGAGTGTACATATATACCATGGCTAAATTTCCAGATGATGACAGAGCCCACAGTTCCCCATTGGCCTTCAACTCCGAGAATAGTTGAGCACATGGAGGGCATATGATGAGGTCTTTCTCTAAAGATTTCATGGAATACATCTCCATGAAAACTGATCTCAATCTGCCCAAAGCACCTTGCCTTTTAGGCCCATCTTATAACAAATATATGATAGATTCTTAGTTGTGCCAAATTCAGCTGCGCATTCAGTCTTATTTATAGGCCTTCAGCTCTCATTCAGTGGTGGAAGGGAAAGGGTGGGTGCAGGGGGCCCTAGGTGTGGAAATCTTCTCTCATATTCACAATTTAAAATTTTCTCAAAATAGTATGTTTATTTTCACCACTATGAGCATGATAAAGTTTTTATGTTATATAATTTAAATTTTTTAACAAGTTAGAATTATGTTTATACCTCTCACTTAGGAGAACACGAACCTATTTTGATTCAGCTCAAATCAGAAAAGTAGATCCTACTCAAATTTTACTTAAATAAAATTTTTAATGAAACTCCAAATATTGATATCCTTGTTGGAAACACAACCTAATTTTCAGGATCACAACCATTAGGTCTATCACCTATTTAAAAACTAATGTTGTAAAACAACTTTGTAAAAATGTTTTACGATATAATTTGAGTTAATAATCTTCTCAATTACACAAATTATATATCAACCTGGTTTGCACACCATGATTTATAGTTGATCTTGACTTGAACAGTTTCTTTTGATAGCACTTCTTTCTATCTATATTGCTTGAAATTTCTATACGTTTGCTGCTATAATTAATCTTTAATATAATTCCGTTTGAAACTTTAATATTCTTCTCTTAAGAAATCTTAGCATAAATTCTTTTCTACAGAAATCCTATTAAAATCATTTTCTTAAGAAAGAGATAATTATAACGGAAATTTCTCGTCTTTAGTGGTAATTTTAAATTTAGGCTCTGTTTGGAAAGCAGGAAAATAACTTTTGGAAAATAAGTCATTTTTCAGAAAATATTTTCCTTTCCGGTGTTTGACTACACAACGGAAAGTTGTCTTTGTGTATTTGGTTCTTTTCCAGAAAATGAGTATGAAAATGAAAAGAATTGAATACTTCAAAAATTTTAATTGGTATATATATATATATATATATATACATATATATATATATATATATATATATATATATATATATATATATATATATATATATATCATCTACTGTTTCTACACAGTAATATATATAAAAATGCTACAAAGTCATTAATATATATACTGTGTAGTATTTATCATCTACTGTTTACAAATATTTGAAAAAGATATATTTTCAATGTTTAACTGGCTACACAGTAATACATCATCTACTGTTTCAAATATAACTTTTTTTTAAAAAAAAGTTTAAAAAAAGTAATATATATAAAAATGCTACAAAGTCATTAATATATATACTGTGTAGTATTTATCATCTACTGTTTACAAATATTTGAAAAAGATATATTTTCAATGTTTAACTGGCTACACAGTAATACATCATCTACTGTTTCAAATATAACTTTTAAAAAAAAAAGTTTAAATACGAAAAAAATTATATTATTTATAGACTTTACTTATTTTTTTAAACTTTGGATTAGAAAAACAAAATAAAAAGTCCGCGGGGCCCGCTAACGTGTATGGGGCGGGCTTTGGTTGCAAGAACCCTAGCCTGCGGGTTTAGTGGGCCGACTCACAAAAGCCCACAAAAGATTAGGCCCAAAATTTGTACATGTGCATTCCTTGGAAAATGACTTTTTCCCAAAAATGAGAAGTCATTTTCTCCCAAAACATACATATTTTCCTTTGACTGATGTATGATTTTCCATTGACCTCATTTTCGCCCCTCTTGCCAAACACTGGAAACACGAAAAACATTTTCCAGAAGTCATTTTTCGAGTTTCCAAACGCACCCTTAGTCTCAAACTATGATTTTTGTCATTTAACATCCAAATTACGGAGTATCATATTGTGAACACTTTTGGTCCTTCCGATTACCTTTCAAGTGAAATCTTGTTTTAGGCAATGATATTTTCGTCTCTTCAATTATTATTATTATTATTATTATTATTTTCTCAATGAGTTAATTCAATAGGAGGTTCCTTGTCATTGGTGGCAATTCCAAATTTAGTTTTAGACAATTGTTTTCATCCTTTAACAGCCCAAACTATCATATTTTAATTTGGACTTTTGGTCATTCCAATAATTTTTTCGGTGATGAAACCCTATTTTAGAAAATGATTTGTTTCGATGACAAAGAATATATGCTTCTTTCTTTTTCTTCTTTTTCTTTTTGATCTACCGCTTTAGTAGATGATTCATAGAATCATGGACTGAAATAATAGCAACACTCAAGCTGACCGGATGGTGTAATCCTAAACTTTCCAATTGTGCTGCAAAATGATTCCTTCGCACCCAAAGATCCTTATGTACTCGGTATCGCCATTGACGAAGAACGATTTGGGGTTGGGGTGAAGGAGATGAAGACATGCATCTTATTTGAGAAAACTTCGACATCCATAAACTTAGCATCGTACGCACACTAAAATCCTTGGGACTAGCATATACCAATTTCAATTAATAAAATAAGTACAATAAATAATATTTCAATAAATTTGACACAAACAATAAAAAATTGATCAAAACAGTTGCATGCGCTAATCACGCTTGCAAATGCAGTTTAAGTCTTCTTATTTGATTGGAATAATTGGTGTTTTTTCTTCCACTTATAAATTTTGTAGAGAAGCAATATCCTTATTGGGCGCCAAAAGAGTGAAATCTTTAAATGGATCTAATGAAAGTAACAGATAAGTATATAATAATCACCAATTAATCCATATTTCCAATTTCTTATTTCATTATATTTTACGTCATCAAAATCTATGTATACGAGTCAAACCCAAAACCTGATCCATATTCATTCAAAGCTTCAAAAAAAAAAAAAAAAAAAGCCAACATTTATAAGCCTACATATAGGCTTATGTCCATGCTCAAACCTTTGCAAGAGCGACTCCACAATTGTTTTTTTTTTTTTTTTAAACGAACTTCATGATCTTATCACAATTATATTACTTTATTTAAGTTATAATATATAATTTAACTAAATCTGTATCAACTAATTAAATTAATTAGACAAACCACCCAAATTGATTGATGTGTAAGCTCAACTAGCTCAATTAAAATGCAACCCAATATTATTAGTCCATTTAATGCTATCAAATCTTCAATATCTACAAACAGATAACAGATAGCAAACATTTTTAATCTTTCTGTCAATGTTAATTAGGATTCTCAAAATAAAAAAAAATAATATAAATAAGGTAAGAGGGACCCTATCGTAACATTTGATCTGAGAAGGCCTATATATAGGAGACTGTAATGAACAGCTGAGTTTCACACAACTAATAAGAATCAAATTAAATCACTACTCTCTTTGGTAAAAGATGGGCCTTAAAGGCAAGGTAGTTGGGCAGGTAGAGATCAGTTTTCATGGAGATATTTATCATGAAATCTTTAGAGAGAGACCACATCATCTGCCCTCCATGTGTTCAGCTATTCATTCAATTGAAGGCCAGGGAGGAACTGTGGGCTCCACCATCACCTTGATATTTACCCATGGTACGATATTCAACCAGTGTTGTAAAAATCGCGCCTAGGTACTAGGTGGCGCCCGGTAGCGTCGGAGAATGCCCCGAAATCGGCCTCCTCTGCGTCCGGCCGCCTAGGCGGCCGAACCTTTTTTTTTTTTTTTTTTTTTTAATCGGGCCCTTAGGGGGCTGGAGTCTTTTTCAACACTGTACTCAACCCACACTTTTGTGCACAAGAAACTCATAGTCACTACTCGAGGGTATGCATTGAGTAACCTCGCCTTGTGGCCCTAGCCGACAAAAGATCACAAAGAGGTAAATCAACCTAGAACCTAAGTTGTCAATAGCTGACCAGTTCAAACCATTAAAACTGGAATTCAAATAAACTCGTGACCTTGTGAGTACATGTTTAATTTGTATCCTAACCAACTTGGATGTGGTTACCGTTAAATACTCTTATTTGATCATTGGCATTGCCATGTTGTATTTAGGGTAGATTATAATTGAGGCTAATCATTTGGCTTATAAGTACCGGTCAAATTTTGTTGATTAAATGAGTTATATTGAAAAATATTCATAATTAACGATTTAATGTATGCATATTATAATGTTTTGACAGAAGGGAAGACCAAAATGGCAGAAGATGTTATTGAGGCCATAGATGATGAGAAGAAATTGGTGAAATTCAGAGTGGTTAAAGGTGACATCTTGGAGTCCTATAAGAGTTTCAGTCTAACATGTCAAGTTCATAGCAATGATGATGATCATTTTGTGACATGGACTCTTGAGTATGAGAAGTTGAGTGAGGAGATTCCCGAGCCACTCTCTTATCTCCAAACTATCCTAGATATTACCAAAGAAATGGAGGATCACCATGCAAAGAAATAATAATCCTACTCTATAATAAAGTCAACTTTTAGTAAGAAAAAAATAATGATGATGATAATAGTCGGTATCAAATGTAATTATTTATTCAATATATTTTCGTTATAAGTTGTAGCTCAAAGAGTCAATACCCCATTACCAGGGTTTAATTCTGTGACAATCCCTCAAGGAGAGGGACATAGGTGCCAATTGAGCATAATATGGTTGGCCAAATTATCTCTTTACGTCTTTTTCAATTTGATAGTTAAAGGTTTGGGCTGTGGTCTTGATGCATATGAATTAAATCTAGTTTTAGATTAATTCTATGCATATTAGTGTGTACCATAGTATGTGTGTACTGTTACGCATTATGCATGTCACATAAATAAATTGAACTACAATGCATTTTGAAATTATGTAATGCGAAAATATGTTGAGAAAAATATCGATATTAGTCGGAGTATCAATAATAGTAGTTACTCCTGGTGATATTTCACACACGTAAAATGCAATATATAAAGCTCCAAAGAAATACACGGCTGGAATTTGATAACATAGTTTCGACAACACCTCCTAATATATATGTGGGGTTACGCCCAAAACTTTTTCACTCAAAATCAATACATAATTTTTACAATTACAAGGTTCAATGAATTACAAAACTAAATCCCATCTATATAAACATTAACCTTATAAAGCATCTCTTTAAACAAGTTTATAATTACAGATTTCAACACAACTTCTACTAATATCAAGTGGAGCAGCTACTCTAGACAGTATTCTAGTCTATTCCTATTTTCTTGAAGTTTCTTTCACAAACTTTGTGAATTAATATTAGAATATTTGCACATGAAACTTTAATTTCCTTCCTTACAATTCCCTCTATTTATAGCTGTTGGAAATAACATTCAAATAAGTGAAGTTGCATTCACTTCTTGTCCCACATTGCTTTCTTTCGAGTGCTTTTTTCACCTTTTAAATACCAATACTTTTACTCCTCTTAAAGTTCATGTTAAATTTTATAATGTATTTTTTAATACTATAACATATTCATAATATATGTTCAACTAGTGCCAACTTTGATTGTAATGAGATTCGAACCTAAGACCTTCATTATGAAAATCAATGAGTAAATTAAGAATAATAAATAGTTAATGGAATATTTCGTTACTAAAGTTTATACTGACGAAATGCGGAGATATTTAAAAAAAGTAAATGATACCTTGTATAATAGATTGTAAAGTAGAAAAAATAATTTTTTAAAAAATACTACAAGTAATATGAACCATTCATTTCAACGAACAATTGGACCAACAGTTTTTAATTCCTATTATAGGTCTAACTTTATTGGTTGTTATTAGATTTAGTACGGTAATAGATATAAAGCTAATATCGCAAGTATATGATTTTTTGGCAATCAGTTTGCACTTTTTATTTTTATTTTTATTTTTTACTATACATAAATTTATTTATTATGATTTATAAAAATATAGTATATATTATAAAAGTTTTGGTAAGAAAATTGTAAATACTATATCAATATAGATTATTAAATATTTGTAAGGGTGTATTTGGTTTAGAGTTTTTACTGATTTGATAATTTTTAATGTGAAAATGTATTTAAAAGTTAATAAAAATCTATAAATCTATAAAGTTAATAAAAGTTGGAAAGATTTATGAAAGTTAAAATTTACCACTTTAATGTATAGTATGAATATATATTACTCCAACAAATTGAATAATCCGTAGACATTCATACCTAACTCAAACAGCACTTTGGTTGTAATATATCGCATTATTTATGTATTTAACTATAAATTATATAAATGTTATCCATAATGGATTGGTGAAAGGACAGGATCAAACATTCAAGATTTTCCCATACCTGATCGAAAACTTTCACATTTGGCGTATTTCACGTGTGGCCTGAAATATCCGTACACATTAAATTGAAGAGATTATGTGGCAATTGGGTGTTTGGTAAATAATTGTGAATTAATTGGGTTAATGAGTTTGACTAGTTGATAACATTAATTGATTGTGTAAAAGTGTTTGGTAAATTAGCTATTAGTTGATAGCTGATTACATGCAAAATGACTTCTTAAAATTTTGATTGAAAAATTTATTTTGAGCAATTTTTGAATTTTAGCATTTTGGAGCAATAAATTGTTAAAAAAATTAATTAATCAAACACTCAATTGTTTAACCAAGTCAAATAGCTAATAGTAGTCAAATAAACTAAAATTGACTGGTAAGCTAACTATTTTACCAAATAGGGACAATATGTTTAATTAAGGTGGAAATATGGATTAATTGATGATTATTATATGCTTATCTATTACTTTCATTAGATCAATTTAAAGATTTCACTAATAAGGTGGAAATATGGATTAATTGGTGATTATTATATGCTTATCTATTACTTTCATTAGATCAATTTAAAGATTTCACTCTTTTGGCACCCAATAAGGATATTGCTTCTCTATCTACAAAATTTATGAGGGGAAGAAAAAAACACCAATTATTCCAATGAAATAAGAAGACTTCCACTGCATTTGCAATAGTGATTAGCGCAATTTTTGTGATCTATTGTTAATTTGTTGTTCGTGTAAAATTTATTGAAATGTTAATTGTTATACTTATTTTATTAATTGAAATTGGTATATGTTAGTCTCAAGGTTTTTAGTGTTAGTAGCACTATGGTAAAAATCGGCCTAGGCGCTAGGTGCCCTTAGACCGTTCTGCTTTTACTATTAGGCGCCCAAAAATCGGTCGGGCGCCTAGGCGGCGAAATCGGCCGAGTCAGTCGATTTGTCCGATTTCGTCCGGTCCAGCCGTCTGTAGACTAGTTTGATACTTTGAATCTTTGGATGATTGAAGTATTTGAGTATTTCATATTTGAATATTTTTTATTTTTTTAATATTGTTTTGATGTTATGACTTATGAATTATCATTATTATTTCATTTACTTGGATGTGTTATTTGATTGAATGTTGAAAACAACCTCATTAAAATTGTCAAACTGCAAGTCTCCCACTATTTTTTAGATGCCCGTCTAGCGCCGCCCAGATTCTGCCTAGGCGCTAGGTGCTACCCGGACGCTCGACTAGCTTCTAGCGCCTACTGCAACCATAGGTAGTAGGATGCTAAGTTTAGGGATGTCGAAGTTTTCTCCAATAAGATGTAATTCCTTAATAAGTTAATTTCAGTGTAGGTCGTTGTCTTTGATGGTAATTTCAAATTTATTTCCAGACTATCATTTTTGTTATTAACACCCTAATATATCATATTTTAGACACTTTTGATCATTCAAATGACATTTTTTGTGAAATCCTATTTTAGACAATTGTATTTTTGTTTCTTCATTTTTATTTATTTATTTTCACAATGAGTTAATTTTACCGGAGGTCCTTATCTTTGATGACAATTCAGACTATCATAATTTGGACACATTTTGTCCTTCCGATGACTTTTTTTTTTTTTTTTTTTTTTTGTGAAATCCTATTTTAAGCAATGACATTTTCATCTCTTTAATTTTTTTTTTACTTTTTTTTGGTGAAATTCTATTTTAAGCAATGACATTTTCATCTCTTTAATTTTTTTTTTTTTTAAATTTTCTTGGTGTTCTCGCGATACCTACCGAGTTGTTAGATCTCAGTGCTGCACTATGCCTCACTTGACCCGGGATTGCCGGAAGTCAAGCAGGCTTAAACACAGAGTTCTATGGTACCTGGTTGTCATATCCTACTCAAAACTAATTGGTGATAAGTAGGTGGGCATTAACCATTTAACCACATCTCTCCATGGTAAGCCACAGCGCCACGTCTCGAATCGAGAATGGGCTGAACTCGGCCAACCGGTCGACGCCCAACACGAGTACGTGATGATCTCCAGGTGCGGGAAAATCATTTTGCCGCACAATTGGAAAGCTCAGGATGACGCCACCCGGTCGGCTTCGACCAGTTTGATTGCTATTATTTTAGTCTATGATTTTGTGAAACATCTACTAAATCGGTAGATCAAAAAGAAAAAATAAGAAAAACAAAGAAGCATCTTCTTTGTCATCGAAAAATACCCTTTTCCAAAATACGGTTTCACCAAAGAAAAATTATTGGAATGACCAAAAATGTCCAAAATATGATAGTTTGGTCTCTTAAATGACAAAACCAACTGTCTACGACTAAATTTGGAATTTCCACCAAGACAATGGGATCTCCGATGAAATTAACTCTTTGGGGAAAACAAAATTGAAGAGGCAAGCCTAAAACAAGATTTCATTGAGAAAGTCATCGGAATGACCAAAAGTGAATGATAATTTGGAGTGTGAAATGACAAAAAAACTATAATTTGAAACTAAATTTGAAATTACCACTAAACACAATTATCTCTTTCTTAGAAAAGGATTTCAATAGAATTTCTGAAGAAAAGAATTTAAACTAGGATTTCTTAAGAGAAGAATTTTAAAGTTTCAAACGGAATTATAGATTAATTAAGGCGGCAGTGCAGTCTTGGAGGCAGATCGCCGGCGGGGACGGTGTTGCTGCAGTTCGTTGCACATCACGTTCGACTCCCAGGATCTCATCGGAAACAGGAGGAGTGCAGGTGCCTCTTTGCTACATTATATTGATGCAGGGTTCCAATCCTCAACTAACAAAGCTTTAGCGCCATACTGCTCTCGCCAGCTGGAGTTTTTATAGCAGCCATTAATGGAGCCTGGCCACCTCGTACCTGTCCATGGCGGAGACACTAGCATGCAACTATGCAAGGAGGTGTTATCATGACTAAAAAAGTTTTGGTTGTGATCCTGCAAATAATTAGGATGTGTTTCCAACTACAATATCAATATTTGTAGTTTCCAAGGTTGCAAAAATCGCTAGGCGCCCTCTAGGCGCCTGGGGACCGTCTAGGGCGCCTAGAGCGCCTAGGCGGGCGCCTAGAGCGATTAATCGGCGCCTAGGTGGCCGACCGCCTAGCGCCTAGGCGCGATTTTTGCAACACTGGTAGTTTCATTAAGTATTTTGTTTAAGTAAATTTTGAGTGTGATCTCACTGCTAGAAATCAAGATTTTTGACAATCTAAAAGTGACCGGAATGGCCTTAATTCGGTAAGAAATACCTGTTCGGACACATTTCTGACCAATTTGAGTATCCGCAAAAAAACCCTCATCGCTATTTCCGACCACCCAAGAAAATGGTTGAAAATAGCAACCGCGTTTATAGAGTCGTCGTTGTTAACGACCAGTAAAACGATTAGATAGGTTCCGGATTTCCGACCACTGGTAATCGGAAATCTGGAATAAGAAACCATTCATAGCTCCATTTTTTAAGTC